CACCATTTGTAGGGACAACAACCCCAAAGCGACCCTTCCTGCTCCTGCAGCACAGCTGTGGAGACTCACAGTGAGAGTGGCAGCCAGATGATCCTGGGAACGCTGGGAGAGCATGCAGGTGCCCCAAATACCCATCACCCACCCCGAGGAGCCATGCCCTGAGGAGCCACACCCTGAGGAGCCACGCCCTGAGGAGCCACCCCCCAAGAGCCACACCCTGAGGAGCCACGCCCCGAGGAGCCACATCCCAAGGAGCCACGCCCCGAGGAGCCACACCCCGAGGAGCCACACCCCTGAGGAGCCACATCCCGAGGAGCCACACCCTGAGGAGCCACACCCCAGGAGCCACACCCTGAGGAGCCTCACCCCAAGGAGCCACACCTCAAGGAGCCACCCCCCAAGAGCCACACCCTGCAGGAGCCACACCCTGAGGAGCCACACCCCGAAGAGCCACGCCCTGAGGGGCCACACCCTGAGGAGCCACGCCCTGAGGAGCCACGCCCCGAGGAGCCACACCCCAAGAGCCACATCCCAAGGAGCCACACCCTGCAGGACCCATGCCCTGAGGAGCCACACCCCGAGGAGCCACGCCCCAGGAACCACACCCCAAGAGCCACACCCCAAGAGCCACATCCCAAGGAGCCACACCCCTCAGATCGATAGCCCATCCCCAATCCCTGCTCACCCGCGATGCTGAATCCATTCTCAGCTCCGGGCTCCTCCAGGGCGAAGAGCCAGGCGAAGAGCCCCCCGACGGGCAGCAGGGGCAGCAGGGCGCGGGCGGCGGGCTGGGGCACCCCGCTGATGGCCGTGTAGGCTCTGCCGTCGCTGCCCACGATGTAGGCGTGCAGGTCCACGTCCTGGAAGCGGACGGACGCCCTTCCCACCCTCAGGCTCCCGCTCACCTTGCCGTTGAGGCGATGCACGGCCCCTGGGCGGGGAGACGGGCACCCCTGGCAGCGGCCGCCCAGGCACGGGCTGCCCGTCCCCGCCGCCCGCCCCGCGTACCTTCGGGCAGGCACTGCCGCCCGTTGCCATAGAAGGTGGCCCGGCAGTGGCAGCAGAAGCCGGAGGAATAGTCAGTGCAGAAGGCGTGCGGGGAGCAGCGCCCGTGGTGCTGGGCACACGTCTCTTTGCTGGCCGCGCTGTAGGTGAACACTGGGGGACGAGGGGAGAGCGCTGGGGACACGGGGACAAGGCCACCCCTCACGGCGGGTGGGTGCCTTGTTCTCTCGGCCCCAAAGACACCGCCTGGACACGGGGCCAGCTGGCAGTGGTGGCTCCCAAGGGAGTCACACGGATGGAGAGGGACGGTGGAGGGCTCGGAACCTGTTGCCTGATTTCAGGCAGATCTGACAGAGGGCAGGAGATCACATTCCCGAGGGTATTTTTGGGACACAGTTGGCCGGGGATAGGGCTCAGGTCCCCCGGGCACGTGCCATGGTGGCCGCACAGCTGGCTCGGTGGCGGGGATGGCAGTGAAGCCAGCCCTGGCCTCRTGCCCTGTCCCCTGAGCATCCCATCCCTTCCCGTGCTCCAAAATTCCCCCCTTTTTCCATCAGCAATCCCGGAGGGCGGGGATGTCCCGCTCCAGCAGCCCCCGGGAAGAGGAACTGGGGCGGGAGGAGGAGCTGGAAGGGAACCGGGGCGAACTCGCAGCCACCACGGCCAGCCCCGCTCGGTCACTGTCCCCACGGGGCCATCACCCCAGCCGGGTCACTGTCCCTCACCGTCACTCACCGTCGGGGTTGAAATGCGCGTCCTCCTCCACGCCCACGCCGTGCTGGCCGGAGCTGTAGGAGGAGGGGTTGGCGGAGWAGCTCTGCCGGGMGCCACCGTCCCCGCCGGGYTGYGGCCAGCGGCTCCGCTCCTGGGYGTCCCTYCTGCCGGCGACAAAGCCCAGGAGCACCGGGGCGCTGGCCCCGTGGCTGGAACGCTGTGCCATGGACGCGTGGCTGGCGAGGGGGCGGCTGTGGCCAGCGGGGTCGGGGTGCTCTCGGGGTGCTCTGGGGGGCTCTGGAGCGGTTCTCTCGCCGCCCCCCGGCTCCACGGGCTCCACGCTGCCCACGCGGAACACCCACACGCCGGGGATGCCCGTGTTGCTGTCCCTGTGGACACAGCACACGGGGACATCATCGCACCCATCCCGCAGGTGGCACCGCCCCGCAGGACCCCAATACCGGTAGAGCTGAGCCCCTGCCACCACCCAGCATTCCCCAAAATTCTTCCAGTCCCAAAAAGGCTCCAGAGCTGGGAGAAGGTGCCCCTGCTCCCCCTGCCCACCCCACAGAGCCCCCAGTGCCACCACGCACCGCTCCAGGTTCCTCAGTGCCTGCTCGCTGCTGGCCAGGCTGTGGAACAGCCCGTCCCTCTTGGGGTCATCGCCGTCCCCCCAGCTGAAGCCCACCCTGGCTGGCAGCTCCAGCTGGACGTTGTAGGACTCCTTGGGGCGTGTCCCCAGGAACTGGAGGCCGCCGTTGGGGTACAGGAAGATGGTGTAGGTGTCCTCGTCGTTGTAAGCGATGACGGCCTGGAAGGTGTTGAGCTGCCAAAGGGAGAGGTGAGGGTGGCATGGAGGGAGGAAAGGAAGGGGAGCAGCGGTGTGAGAGGAGGCTCCACACACAGCACAGGGCGTGCCAGCACCCCAAAAGGGTTCTCCAACAGAGAGCACCTTCATGGAGCCAGGCTGGGAGAGCTGGGGGTGCTCAGCTGGAGAAGGGAAAGCTCCAGGGAGATCTCAGAGCCCCTTGCAGGGCCTGAAGGGACTCCAAGAGAGCTGGAGAGGGACTGGGGACGAGGGATGGAGGGACAGGACACAGGGAATGGCTTCAAACTGCCAGAGGGCAGGGATGGATGGGATATTGGAAATTGGGATTTCTTGGCTGTGAGGATGGTGCAGCTCTGGCACAGGGTGCCCAGAGAAGCTGTGGCTGCCCCTGGATCCCTGGCAGTGCCCAAGGCCAGACTGGACAGGGCTTGGAGCACCCTGGGACAGTGGAAGGTGTCCCAGCCCATGGCAGAGGTGGAACTTTAAGGTGTTCTTTAAGGTCCCTTCCAACCCAAACCGTTCCAGGATCAGCCTGCAGAGACCTTCTGGGGCAGAGCAGGAGCTGGAGCTGCTCATGCCCAGCCAAACCCCAAATACCTCATCCTGGGGAGATGCTCAGCATCCTGCCAGGACCCTACAGCACAGCCAGACCTCTCCTCAGTGCAAAGTGTCCCAGAAGCATCCCTGGGCCTGGAGCCCCTGCTCTGGGCTGGCACTGATGCCTGGGAGCCCCTCGCTCCCATCCTCCCCCTGACACCCCCGTGCTCCATCCCAYCGGCACCGCAGGAAAACCCGCACCTCCCCCTTGTCTGTCCCTGAGAACAATTTTAGCCCGGTTTCCTCCGGAAAAAACACGCCTGTGCTCCCAGCTTCCCATACATCCCGCTATAGGCACGCTGGCCGCCCGCCCTGCCAGCCCTGCGAGCCTTGGGGCCGTGCCAGGCGGACGGGGAGGCTCCGGAGCCAGCAGAGCCCTCCCGGGAATCCACACCCTCCAAAAACACCRAAACCAACCCCGCACAGCTCCCGCTCCCCCGACAAATAACCCCAAAGCAGGGAGCAGCAGCCCTTCCCACCGAGCTGCAGGAAACAGCCCGAGCGAAGGAAAAACGATTAAAACTCCCGGTTTCACCCCGGCAGCAGCGGGAGGGAGGGCGGGGACTCCCCCCCAGCTCCACCCGCCCTGATTTTGGGGCGCAGGGCCCCCGGAGCATCGCTGGATTTCCTGGCAGCCCCGCGGGACATAAAGAGCCTTGTTGTGCCTGTCACACACTCGGGCATTCAGAGACCCCGAAAAGGCGGCCAAAAAGCTGGAGGGGGGCGGGAGAAYCCCCTCCCTTCCCCCCGGGGCTGGATTCCTCCCCCACGCAGCCAAATCGCAGCAGCAGCAGCAGCTGCAGGGCTCGTTGTGCCTTGTGGTGGGTGGCCAGGGGGGACACGCTGGGTGACATCGATGTGCTGGCACGGCGGGATGAAGGGAAGGCGGGGGGAAAAGCCCTCGACTGCTCACAGCAAAGAGCTGCAAAGGGCAAATTCCACCCAAAAGGGCGAGTTCTGCTCCTACGGACGCGGGGTCAAGCCTTGTCCCACTCTGCAGCCCGGGAAAACRTCACTGCGGGGAGCAGGAGAGTGTCCCAAGCTGGAGGGGACACGGAGCTGCCAAAGCACGGGCAGAGCTCCCACCCCAGCAGGACACCCAAAAACAGGGTCTGGGGACCCTCTACTCCCCATCTTAACCAGTTTGYTCCTTTTGACCCTGAAAAGGGATTAGCAGTGACTTTCCAGAGCAGGGGGAAAAGACTTTGGAGCCAGTCCTGGTTCTGAGCAGCAGGAGGGCAGCGTTTCCATAAATGCCACATTTGGTCAGAAAAAAAAAAAAAAAAAAAAAAAAAAAGGTGGGGTTTGGGGAGTTTGTAGCAGCTTTGGCGAAGGGGGAGCTCAGCAAAGCACAGACACAAGCTGCATTTCAGCGAGTCTTGAATGGAGCTTTCCCTGGAGCTGCTCATTTCCAAATCAGACCAGTTCCATTTTAAAGCCTGATCCAAACTTCTCAGAGAGAGGAGAAAAAAAAACACAATTAGGAAGAGGAGGCTGCGTTTTCGATGGCGGCGAGGTCGCTGTGAGGCCCCTGATGGCATCTCCTCAGCTGTTTTCCCAAGTTTTAAATTAGAGGAAAAAATGTGCCTTGTTTCCTTCCAAACCTCAGCTCCTTGCCTTGCTTGGCTTCCCTCTCAGCACGGCGCTACCGAAGGGCCCCGGAGCGGGGGGGACAGCTGGGGGTGGCTCCTGGTGGCCCACAGGGACCTGGTGGCTGCTGCTGGGCTTTGGGACAGAGCCCATCACCCATGGCACAGCTCYGGGAATCCATCAGCAGAGCTCCCCTCGTGCAGCTCGTCACGTTGAGCTCATTGGAGTCCACGCGCTGGCAGAGCGTCACTGTCACCTCCTCAGCACGTCATCGGCCTGATGTGACAGCTCACAGCTCACAGGGAAAGGCAGYGCTGGAGTCCACCCACGCAGGAGCCTTATCAGCCCGTGGGTGGAGAGCACAGGTCACCCCTCTGAGCTGGCAGACCACCTTGGAGCTGCTTTTCCAGGCACAACATCAGCCCACGGTGGAAATTCCAAATTCTGGTGCCAGCACAGGGCAGGAGGATGGAGCGGCCCTGAGCCACCAGGAAAGGTCACCAGCACCATGGGTGACCTGAGCCAGACCTGCCCCAGCTGCCCCTGGCCACCCTCTGCCCAYAAAACCAGARCCACCAGCRCTGGAAARCTTTGTCTGAWAAGAACCAGAAGCCTGGAATRGTTTGGGTTGAAGGGACCCTAAAACTCATCTCRTTCCACCCCTGCCATGGGCAGGGACACCTTTYACTGTCCCAGGTTGCTCCAAGCCCTGTCCAACCTGGYCTTGGACACTGCCAGGGATCCAGGGRCAGCCACAGCTTCTCTGGGAATTCCATCCCAGCCCCTGTACACCCTCACAGGCAAGAATTCCTTCCTAACATCTGATCCAATCAATGTGAAGCCATTCCCTGTGTCCTGTCACTCCATGTCCTTGTACCAGCAACCTCTAAACCTCCTCTGCCCAACAGCCCCAGCACTGCCACAACTCTGAGCAGAGAGGAAAAGCTCCGTGTTCCTCCTGCTGCTCATCCAAGGATGGATGGATGGAGCCATCATCCATCTGCTCAGAAAGGACTGAGCATTTTGGGTTCCACACCTATGAGAAAAACTCATCCTCCCGTGCCATGAAGGATGGACACCCGAGCTCAGCCCATCAGCCTCACCTTTGTGGAGGGCTCGGTGTCCTGGGAGAGCTCCTGGTAGGCACCCACATCCTCCCAGGTGACAATGAAAGCGTTGGTGGGCACGAAGGTGCCAGCAGAGYGGGGGAAGCCGGCCTGGATGTATCCCACAGCCCGGTCCAGCACATCCYGAGAGTCATCCTGCCGGTAATAGATGTTCCCTCTGTCCCCGGAGGTGTCGAGGTCGGCCAGGAAGGGCGCGATGACGGGGAAGTCTGTGGGGAAATCGTCATCCACGTACTGGGTCTCCCTGGGGAAATCCTGGGTGGAGATGACCCCGTTGGTCCCCACCTGCAGGGAGAACGGCGCAGGATGCTCAGGAGCCGCGGAGGTGCCACCACCGCCACTCCCCGCGCGTTGTCCCCCCCTCGTCGGCGCCGTGGAGCCCTGCGGCCGCGTGGCCCCATCCGGCCGGGCAGAAAACAAAGACCTCGGGCTTCTCCATCCCCCAGGGAGCTGCGGCTCAGGGGCCATCCCAGCTGCAGCCGCTGCTGGCGGGGGAACAGCTGCGGAGGAGAAAGCCCTCTTGTTCCTCGGGGGCTGCAGACACCGGGCAGAGGGGGAAAATGGGTGGATGGAGAAAAAACACGTGCGGGGGGACAGCGAAGGTGCGCATGGAGAGGCGGGGAGGAGGAGGAGGAGGGGGTGGAAAGGCTGGGGAGGAAGGGGGAGAGGGAGGAAGGATGGAAAGATGGAGGGGTGAAAAGGGGTGGTGGGACAGAGGGATGGAGGGAAGAGGGGTGGGAAGATGGAGAGACACAAGGCTGGAAGAAGGGAGGGACAGAGGGTGGAGAGATGGACGGAGTGAAGATGGAGGGGCAAAGGGAGATGATGGAGAGGAGGAAGCGGGGCAGGGAGGAAGGGTGGCCGGGGAAAGGAGAGGGGAGTGGGGGCAGCCGCGACTCACGTAGAGGCGGCGGGCGGCGCGGCCGTAGAGGCGCAGGGCGCGGCGGAGCAGCACTCCCGGAGAACTCTCGTCGTCCCCGGGCCGGAGCCGGGCATCGCCGCGGGCCGGGCCGTGCGGGAGCAGCCCCGGGCGGGGCAGGGCTGTCCCCACCGCCAGCACCGCCGCCAGCACCGCCGTCACCGCCCGCATCCCGACACCGGCCACGGGAACCCCCGACGGCCCTGAGCGGAGCAGCGGAGCCGAGAGGAGCGGGACGGACCGGACGGGGCGACCCCGGCCCGGCGGAGGGAACCGGAGCCGGCGGAGCGGGACGGGAGTAGCCTGGAGAGGGGCGTGGCCAACCAGCGGCCGTCCCCGTCCCTGACCAATCGGGTTTTACCCCAAAAATCCGTCCCGGGTTGCAGTCCCCGCCTCCCGCATCCCCGCGCATCTCCCGGGCCGGTACCGGCATCGCGGGGGGAGCCGGGTACCACAGCCCGAGGGGGCATCCCGAGAAGGACAGCGGGACCCCCTGTCCGTGCCCCGCGGCCCCCCGGAGCTCTGCATCCCCCCCCGCCTCCCCGCAACGCCCCCGGGGCCGGGCCCGCGTCCAGCCGGGGTCGGGGCCGGGGTCGCGGCGTGGGCGGGAGGCTCTGGCCGCTCCTCGCTCCCTCCCTCGGAGCCGCTCCCTGGAGCCGGGAAGAAACGTGACTCCTAATCCACAGGGGACACGCGGGAGGAGGACAGGGGCAGCCATCGGCCAAAATCTGTCGTGCAGCTCCACTGGCAAGCGGTCAGCGAGCGGCCCCTCACGCTCGCACGGGCCGGGCGCGGGGTCAGCGCTGTTTATCCTTTCTCTGTCCCATCATCCATCATCTCCGCCCGGGGAGCTCTGGAGCGGCCAAGGGATCCAGGAGGGGTTCCTTGACTGGAAATCTGAGTGTTGGGGTATCGGGGAGGGAGCACCCACGGTGGTGGAGGGGAGGAAGAGCTCAAATCGCCACAGCTGGACTCAGCGAGTGCTCCTGGAAATCCGGGCTGGGAGCAGCCAAAAGCTCTGCTCCGGTTTCCTGGAACGTTTCCCCCTTCCCTGGCCTGGAGATCTGCATCTGTCCCAAGGCACATCCATGCCCCAGGAATGCCAGATAACAAGGAGGGAAGTGTCAGACCCCTGTAGGCTGTCGGGAGAAATAAATCAGGGACRCATTCGTGGCATTCCCGACAGGAATCCTCACATGGGGAGCAGCTGCACACCCTCCACCCCGTCTGTTGCAGCGACAGGGATTTGTCACTGCTGTCCCTGTCCCCTCCATCCCAGGCAGAGCGCAATCCACGGCATCCTGGTCACCCTGGAAAGCGGCTCCCACCCGTGCTGGGACTGGGCAGGTTTGGAATTCCAGCTGTTCCAGGGAATGCGGCTGCCAGGGCCACATCTGGAGAARCCACTGCCCCTCGGCTGCAGGCAGCTGGCTGGCTCCAGCCCCTGGAAGGAGTCTCTTTGCCTGGCCATGGAAAACCATTAGGATTTCGAGCGGGGTCCAGGCCAGCTGGACAGGATCTGSCGTCTTTGAGGAGCTTCCCGTGCCAAAATGTGGCTTTTCTTTGAAGCTCAAACACCTCCGTGGCTCCCCGGGGAAACTGGGAGCTGCAAACGGCCAGCAGCTCCTCTGCAGGGTGAGATCCCAGCTGGGATGCCCCTCCCACCGGGAATGGTGGCATTTGGTGGCACTTCAGAGGTGGCAATGGGCAGAGGGGGCAGGAAGGGTGGGAGGGAAAGGGAGGAAAACTTTGCTGTTCCATGGGATTTTTGGGGATGTTGAAAATCCAAATCACGGGCTCTGAGGATCCTCTGGAAAGGGCTGGAAAGAAGGAGCTGCCAGGCTTCCTGCACTCTTTAGGGTGCTAAAAAGTGCCTTTTCCTGAGTCCCCGAGCCAAACTGGCACCAGGCAGCTCAAAAAGTGGCAGCTGGGAAGAGCTGGAGTCGTGGCCTGGCCTTGGGAGCAGAGTCCTGCTGCCACAAGCATCCCTGTGGGTTTGGGAGAAACTGGGAGCCTCTCTTAGCAGAGATGGGGAACAGGATGGAGAAAAGAATTGGGATGAGGATAGGGATGGGGACCGTGATGTGGGACGGATCAGGGATGATGATAGGGAGATGGGAGTGGATAGAGATAGGGATGGGGACAGAGATAGGGATGGGGACAGAAAGAGGGATGGGGACAGAGATGGGGATGGGGACAGAGATGGGGATGGGGATGGGGACAGAGATAGGGGATGGGGACAGGGATAGGAATGGACACTGGGATGGGGACAGAAATAGGGATGGGGATGGGGATAGGGATAGGAACACAGATAGGGATGGACACTGGGATGTGATGGGTATAGGAACAGGGATGGGTATAGAGACAAGGATGATGATGGAGACAAGGATGGGGATGGAGATATGGATGAGGATGGACACAGGAAATGAAGAGGAAAGTGAGGAAAAGGACAAGGATGGGGGTACGCATGGGCATGGGATGATGATAGGATTGGGTTGAGGATGAGGATGAAGTTAGGGACGAGGATGGGGATGAGGATTTGGATGGCGACAGGGATAGAGATGGTGATAGGGATGGACACTGGGATGGGGGTGGGTATAGGAACAGGGTGTAGGGACGGGGATGAAGATGGAGACAAGGATGGGGATATGGATGAGGATGGACACAGGGGACGAAGAGGAAGGTGAGGAAAAGGACAAGGATGGGGATATGCATGGGCATGAGATGAGGATGGGATTGGGTTGAGGATGAGGATGGAGTWAGGGAYRAGGATGGGGATGAGGATGAAGATGGGGACAGGGATAAGACAGGGACAGGCTGTGCTGGCCCACACCCTGTGCTGGGAAGGGAGGTGGTGCAGGGACAGATCCGTGTAATCACTTCCATGTGCCTCTGCAGAGCCTCTGGCTGCAGGGTTCATCCCTTCCCTTAGTTTGGGCATAAAAACAATCCGGAGCCGTTTCCTGGGAGGCATTTTGGGCAGAAACAGATGTGCTGACATTGGAGACGACTGAGGGAGCTCTGGGACGGAGCTGGGGACGGATCTGCCCCGGCTCAGCAGCTCCCACCACTACGAACGCTCCCGGTTCCCTGTGCCAAACCGGGACAGCCAGGACGAACCGCTGGTGCTGCCGAGGGGTCCAACACCCCCTGCTTTGCTGGGGGAGCGGGAAAAACCGAGGAATCTCTGGCTCAGAGGCTGCCGAGGCAGGAAATCCCGGCAGCCTTCCTCCCCCGAGCCCGCCTGGCAGCGCCGGCATCGCGGAGCCCCCGCGGCCGCAGAGATAAGGGGAGCAGCAGGAAACGCGCTTCTCCTGGGCCACCGGGAAAGGAAGAGCCATTCCCGGGGATGGGAGCGTGCCCGGGGGCTGCTGCAGAAGGGGAAGGCTCACAGGATGCCGTGTGGGGCTGTGGGATGTTTGGAGGGAAGCTGTGGGGCTGGGATAAGGGATCCRGCTGGCTCGGGCTCGGGCTCGTTGCCAGCTCGGTCAGTGGGTCACTGTAATAATGCCCTCGGAGCGGTTCTCCCCCTGGATATCGGAAAGCAGCGCTGCTCAAGGTCAGCGTYTTTGGCAGGGAGGGACACAAACTGTGCCTCGGACATCCCTGTGGATCCTGCAGGGAAAAGGCTCTGGCAGGGAGAGAGCTGTGCACCCTTGAGCTCCCTGGATCAGCACCAAAAATCGTTTTGGCCTTGTGTCTTAGGGAAAAGAGATCTCTGGGGTCCCCCCTCAGAGAAACATGGATTTTTTTTAGGTTGGAAAAGCCCTCTGAGATCATCAAATCCTCCTCTTCCTACAGCRCTGCCCAGGCCACCACTGCCCCGTGTCCCCAAGTGCCACATCCATAGGGCTTTTAAATCCCTTCAGGAGCAGTGAATCCACCACTGCCAAGGCTGGACAACCTTTTCCATGAAGAATTTTTTTCCAATATCCAACCTGAACCTCCCCTGGCACAACTTGAGGCTGTTTCCTCTTCGCTGTCACTTGTTTCCTGCGAGCAGAGCCCGACTCCCACCTGGCTGCCCCTTCCTTCCATGGAACGGCAGAAAAAAAAAAACAACAAAAAAAACCTCCATCCTTAATAACTGGATTATTATATTGGATAATACCAGCCAAACCTGGCTGCAGTATTTCTGAGGGTCTATAAAACCAGAGAAGGGGGAAGAGAGCTGTGGCCTTGCCTGGGGAAGGGTTTGAGCTCAACCCTTCGGTGAGCACCCACAAATGGTGCCCGGCTTCCCAGCAGCAGGGACAACCTCAGAGTGGTGCCAAGGACAATGGGGGACTGTCTGGGTGGCCGTGCCCTCCTGCAGGGTGGCTCTGCTTCCTCTAAGGGCTCTCTCTGGCTGGCTCCATCCCCTGCAGCCGGTTCCTTTCCCAGAGAACCCCGCCGGGTGCTGTCAGCAGGGCAGAGGCACCCGGCTCTCCACATCTCCATTTTTGGGAACGCTTCCCATTAATTTTGCTCTCGATCCCTTGACTCRTGACTCAGCACCTCCTGGCCCTGGCCTGCTCCAGGGATTGTTCTCAGCAGATTCAGGGATGGAGCAGGACTGAGGTGCATCCTCAAGGACAGCCACCCCTGCTGCAGATGATGATTTCCCACTCAGGGTCCATCTCACACCCTCCAGCTGGGATCCAACATGGATTTTCCTGCTCAGGGCATCAAAGATGTTCAGGGAGAGAGTTTTTTCTTGTGGAGAGCTGGAATGATGGGGTGCAGAGCACCTGTGGGTCTGGAACATGGAAAAACAAGGGTTTTATTAAAAGAGGGTTTCTCYGCCCTGGGAAGCTTGGCTGGAGCAGAAATGTGTTAAAATATTTCAGCACATGGAGAGGAGGAAAACCAAGTTGGATGGGGTTTGAGGCAACCTKGTCTAGTGGAAGATGTCCCTGCCCRTGGAAGGGGTTGGAATGAGATGAGCTTTAAGGCTGCTTCCAACCCAAACCTTTCTGGGATTCCAGGATTAATCTACTGAGTTCTTTCACCTGGGAAGTGGAGCTTGGATCTCCCAGCAGCCCCGGGAAGCTGAAGACTCAGAGGATGAAAACTCCACTCTCACATGGAAAAACTTATTGAGACATCTGAACCCCAGCCCAAAGCACTGCTCCAGGTTTTAGAATGTATTTTAAGACAGAAAGGTAAAGAAAAGAGTTGGTTTTTTTTTTTTTTTGTTTTTTTTTAATCTCTGGGGCTCTCCTTCCTTCCTTCCTCTGTCTAAATATTGCTGCAAAGCTGTTTTTGCTGCGGCAGCTGCCGGATGAGCATGCAGAATCCCTTTTAGCCCGATTTTTTTTTTCGCTGCAGAATCCCT